GGGGGAAGCTTGGCCTCCGAGTTTTCCCTGGGTACTCTCATGATGATGTCATTAGCAATCTGCTATGTGGGAACTTTTCTTTTCCAAGGTCAGTACAGAAGAGGATGCAAGGACATAAGGAATGGGGTACTAATACAATCTTCATAGTAACTTCTCCTCACTTCATATTTGCATGGGGAGAAAAAGATTCCTCATGTGGTACAATAAAAATTGTACTGTAATTGGAGGGCAAAGTCACGTCTCTTCACTTCTGTGGGCTTTAATTTCCTCATCTGTAAAATATAACCTTCAAATAGAAGATGACATCTTTGTATTTGTTCATGCTTCCAAGATCATTCCATTAAAATTTGAGGGCTGAATTTAAATTCTGGCCCATATAGGAGTTTTCAGTTAACCATTGAAGATGATGTGGGCTCTTCACACTTTCCAGATTAAAGGAACTTTATTCTGTAGACTGTACTTGCATGGATACCCTCCTATCCTTTTGATATTTTCCATTTTATTTTAGTATCTGGAGAAGCTCTGGGGATTTTGTTTTTCTTAATGTTCAAAACACTGTGTTTCTATAAGTGGGTAGACTAAATATCTTCTGATTATTTTCTGGCGATCTTTCTTATGAAGCCCAGGTTCTGTGGTGCTATTTATCTGGACTACAGATTGTCAGGGAGTTCATATGATGACTTTTTTCCTTTTTGTTTATTCTTCCATTCTGTTATCATATATAAAGCTTATATAGGGCCAGAAATGGTGCCTTATATCTCCTGCTACTCAGGAGGTGGAGATTGAGAAGACCGTGGTTTAAGATCAGCCTGGGGAAAAAGTTACCAGCTATGCAGGAGGTGTAAATAGGATCATAGGTTTAGGCTGGCCAGAGCAAAAAACTCAAGACCTTATTCAAAAAATAACCTAAAGCAAAAAGGACTGGGGGTGAGGCTCAAATGTTAGAGTGTTTTTTTTTTTTTGAGGCCCTGAGTTCAAACCCCAATACTGCCCTACACCCCAAAAAACTTATATAGTATCACATGGAATAAGTTATAAAAATGACATGGATCTTTTTTGCAGTATGTATCCAAGAATAGTAGCTGACATTCATCGACTCCTTACAATATTCCATGACAGATGCTGACTTTTAGCATACATTATCTCATTCAAAAAAATTGTCACAACAACCTTCTGAGAAAATATATTTTCACTATCTTCATTTTACAGATATAGGAACTGAAAATCACCAAGGTAAATGTAATTCTCCTAAGGCCATATAGCTAAATATTCTCAGTAGGATAGATGAGACTTGTATTTGTGGTATTATTAGTCAATAGAGTGATTTTTTTAATATTATGGTTCACTCTTAATATTGTGCTTTCTATATTCTAGGGTTTTGGCAAATGAATAATGAGATATATCTGCCATTATCATATCATACAGAATAGTTTCACTACCCAAGAAGCCCTTCTGGTCCACCTGTTCATCCCTCTCCCACTCCTAACCTTTGGCAATCATGGATCTTTTAGTCTCCATGGTGTTGTCTTTCTAGAATATCATACAGTTGAAATCGTACAGCATGTAGCTTTCTCAGATTAGCTTCTCTCACATTGCAATGCAATTTAAGGTTTCTCCGTGTCTTTTCATGGCTCGATAGCTCATTTCTTTTTAGTACTGAAGATAATGTTCCATTTTATGGCTGTACTAGTTTATTTATGCACTCACTCACTGAATAGCATCTTGGTTGCATCTAAATTTTGGCAATTATGAACAAAGCCTCTATAAACATTTGTGTGAATAGGATGATTCAAAATATTTGATATGGGAATTTAAATACCAAACATTGAGGATTTGTTTTAGGCCTAAACATGTAAGATTCTGATGGCAGAGTCATTTTTGAATATTTACCATGTGCCAGGCAAATTTCTGGATGCTTTAAGTTATCCTATTTAAACTGCACAGTTATCTCTTGCAACCTTCCAATGACAATATAATGCCTTATTTTCACATGTGTAAAAGTTAGTGCTAAGAAACAGTATGTATCTTTTCCAAATTCACAAAGCTAGAGCAGCCACAATTTCAACCAAATCCAACTCCACAGCCTATACTCTTTTTCCTGTCTGACCATACTCTCTATTCAAGGTCAAGGGGATGAGATCACAGAAAGAATATGTGGCAGTAAAGTTTGGCAAGGCCAAAGAGGGCCTTGACTACTTGGGCACTGTGGAGGTGTCTCTGTGCAGTGGGGCTGTTAGCATGAATCAATCAGGTATGGGGGTTAGGAAGGAAGTTGTAGAAGGGCAGAGGGCAAGAGGAAAGACCATCTTTTTCTACTTCATGACATTGACTGTATTGATGCTTGTAAGAGTCATCTGAGAATATGCAAATTTCTACTCCTGGCTGAACTTTGGTAGCAGAAACAGGATGTCTGAGTCTGGAGTTCCACTAGATCAACCCAAGGGAGGAAGTCACATGTCCTTTCTTTGCTGCTTCTCAACATCTCAGTCCCCCAGGATGTTCTCTTGTCACTACTACCCCTACAGTATCAGGGTACTTCAAAAACTCAGGAAACTTCTTTGATTCGAACGAACATTTTGGAGACTCTTGCAAAGTCACTCAAGATGATCAAATCACAAGGGCTCTGAGATCAGAGAGCTTGAAGTAAATTTGTAAATGAGGAAGTTTCATTTTTTTTTCTCTCTTATTACAATTGAATTAGAGTTGCAACTTTTAAAATTCAAATCATTAGGGAGGTATGAGGATAGGTAAGACACCCAAAAAACTAGATAGCATTTGTTGCCCTCAATGCAGAGAAACTAAAGCAGATACTTTAAATTGACAGAGGCCAATAGGAGAAGGGTACCAGGAACTAGAGAAAAGGTCAGTTTGAGAAGAATTAATTTAGAAGGTAACACACATGTACAGGAAAGCAATGCAAGTCAACTCCCTATATAGCTATCCTTATCTCAACTAGCAAAAACCCTTGGTCCTTCCTATTATCACTTATACTCTCTCTTCAACAAAATTAGAGATAAGGGCAAAATAGTTTCTGCCTGGTAGCGAGGTGGGGAGGGGGGAGAAATGACCCAAACATTGTATGCACATATGAATAAAAGAAAATAAAAAGAATTTCCTTAATAACATGTAAAAATAAAATAAAATAAAATAAAATTCAAATCATGGAAAGTTAGTGCTGAAAGGGATGTCCCCGGTCCTCTAGTGATTTTTTAAAGATGAAAAACTGACATCTAGGGGAGATTTTGATACTTGTCTGAGAAGAGCCAGCACCTATCTGCCTGGTGGTATTAGACCCAGGTGCTACCTGTGAGCCCTGTGCCTTTTGTGCTACTCTATAGTCCATTTCTGGCTCTAACAGCTGGCAATCCATGCTGGTATCAACCAGCCCCAGAGAACGGGGGCATTTACTTACCTAGGGATTATGGTTGTGGTGGTGGATAATATGCCTTTTGAGAGGTTTTCTTCCAGAGTACTGCCTTAAACACAAAGACCATTGATTAATGAAGCTACTACAAACAGTGCATAGAGGGGAGGGAGACAGACTCCCATTTCTACCCAACTCAACACCTGTGTCCACACACTGAGCACACTAAGTTAATACTGTTCCTCAGCCCAGCTACTGGCAGAGGTCAGAAAAGCTCTCCCTTCTTCCTACACTGTCGGTTTCAGCTTGTGAGTGTACTTATACGGGAAGCAGGGGATTCCTGAGCTGTGTGGGGAGGCCCCAGTGCAATCTGCTTGTCTGAGGCTACTAGTCTGCCAGGAGACTGGGAAGCAGGGATTCCACTGTCAGGGCACAAAAACAGATCTCTCCCCACACCTGATCAGGACATCCTGCCAAAAATAACCTTGTGGGACGAGTTGTTCGGCTGTTGTTCTTGGCAGGGACAATAGGCATTCTTTTTTTTTTTTTTTTCTATTTCATTTTTAGTAGGAAATACAAGATTCCAGTCAAAATATGTATCCAGATCCTTTCTCTCTCTTTCTCTCAAACACACACACACACACACACACACACACACACACACACCAACACCAAACAACAACAAAAAACAAGAAGTTAGGAAAAGTAAGGCTCCCTACTTCTCTTGACCTCAGGTTTTTAATTCCTTTCTCTGCAGGTAACATCTATCTGCAGCGGGTTGCTAGTGCATTCTTTTACATATACTCAGTGCTCCCAGAAGTGATACTATTTTTAACAAATGTCAATGTACTTTACCTATGACTTTGTCCTTTGTTATTTTCACTTAATACATCTTAGAGTTTTCTCCATCTTGAAGTTCTTTGTTTTTGGTTTTTTTTAACTACAAATTACTGTGGAAATTTTATCTACCAGTCTGTCTCCCTTCACTGTTTAACTTCTTTTCTTGCTATTGAATACTGATTTGGTTCGAGTTAGATTTTTCAAGTTGTTGAAGAGAAGGGAAACACCCAATGTTTAAAAAAAAGTTATTTTCAAGTGTATTGGACTCTGAAGGATTTAAGCAGATTGTATTGTCAGTGTCTCCTGAAAACAGGATGACAACACTCTTGTGTTGCAGTGGAAGAACAAGCACACAGGAAGCTCCAGGACTCGCTCCCAGTGTGTTCTGGGCATCTGTGACCTTGATGGCTTGACTGGTCACAGACTCCTCTGAGGGAACTCTATGAATGTATTTGTTAACAAAATGACTGTTAAGTGCACTGTTATTTTAGATGGAAAAATTAGGGCTCTGTAAGACAAAACAGTATACCAAAGAAGACTTTGGCAGAAATGAGGAGAGCTCGCAGATTCTTGCTTGCATGAAAGAGCAGAATAATCCTAATTTCTCTTAAGAGATGCTGCAGAAAAGCAAAGGGGCAGAGAAAAATGACTGGGTCTAACCCCTACAGAAAAAGTCAACTCTTTTGCCATGCATTTTTCTCTACAGATTACTATATTTCTGCCTCATTGTGTATGATTTGCCAATTCCATTTACTTATTTTTTTCCCTAAAAACTACATATTTTTTCTTCCCTTAGGTACAATATCCTCCAATTCAAAGTATTGGAGTACAACTTACACGTAAGTATTGTCAAAAGTTTAATTGGTTTAAATTTTTAAAAGAATTTTTGTTGTGGTCTTAATTTCATTTGTAACACATGATTTGTTCTTTTCCTTGGGGAAGCATTACATCCTAGAATTGTGGAAGCCTGGATATTATTTTCATCAGGGACAAAGAAAGTGCATAAGGAAAAAAAAAGGGAGTGACTAGTTGCCAAATGGGAGGTGGGGGAGGCGTGGCTCTGAGGTTTATGTGCCTCCCTTAATGTTCCTAGGAATTCTGAATAGGAACTATGCTTATTTTCTCAGCACAGGAGACTAAGGCTTTACTTTTTTATCCGTCTGTCTGACTGTAAGACAAATTTTCTGCTAATTCTATTCTGGGGCAAGATTATATCATAATGAGTGTTGGGGGAAGCCCTAGATATGAAGAAAAGTGATACTCTGATTATCAGGAATACATGTTTGGGTCTGTAATTACAGTCAACCACTAGTGGTTTCTATATGAATATTCATGTATTTATTAAGTTCTGTGAACCTGAAGGGAAGTACAATTTGTCCTCCATACATGGGGCTTATTTCCAATTCAAAATATGCCCCCTGAGCCTGGTACAAGGCAAGAATTACAGAAACAATAGGTCTTGGCCAGAGCTATTGCCAAATTAGTTACCAGGACATAAGCCAAATTAGTTGTTCAAGATGTAGTTGCTTGGTCATTCAGGATGATATTCAGGCTGATAGGGAAATAAAAGAAATTTAGGCTTTTGGGCTTGCACATGGATTGTTCCTGAACAAAGTTGCCAAATCTGATGCTTCTCCTTCTCCCCCTCCACCTCTTTTTCTTCCCTATGGCAGTAACTCTTCCCAAGTCACCTTCCAGGAAAACCTAGCAATAGGATATAGAATGGAGAAGTCTTTGACCTTGAGCTCTTTCCACTGTATCTGACTGAGCTCACTTGGATCCCACAGGGTTCCTGTGCTTACCTGTATTATCAAGTTTAAGGAACTGCTGGCAAAGGCCAACAGTAAATGCTGACACTAATTCTGCTATCCCAGGGCATGTAAATAATTTGTAGTTCATGCTCAGGTGGAGAGGAAATAGGAAACAGCAGCATTTGCTTTGAGTCAAGCTAATCAGCCATGTGTTCGTCCAAGGCCAGGGGTGCTGCTGCCATCCTTTGCAACAATTCATCCACTGTGCACCAAAGTTGCCAATCCCTCCTATGATGAAAAATCAGGAAAACCTCCATTAACTTTTCTGCCATAGATCTAAGGTGACAATTGCTGTAGTCTCTCAGCTCTGGAATCCCAGCCCTATGTGATGCTATCTTGGACACTGGTATTGGCTTTGCTACTTCTTCCATTCCACAGGTAAAGCAGTTTCCAGTCCACAGGATATGTAGAAACATGGTGCTGTCTTGCTTTCACTCTATTTTTCACTTTCTTTTCACCTGATTCTAGATGTATTGGAAGATCGTTGCCTCTTGCTATGTTTTAGTAATAATTTCTTTTTTAAAAATTCTGTCCTAGCCTCTTTAGGGTGTGAGGAGAGAGTTTTCCTCATCACTGCACCAAACGAGGCTGAAACCATGAAGGTGACAAACAATTCAATCATCATCAGCTGTGATGGGTTTTACCTCATCTCCCTGAAGGGCTTCTTCTTCCAGGAGGTGGAGATCAACCTTCATTACCGGAGGGGTCGGAAGCCCATCCTCATCTCAAGCAAGGACAGGAGGGTGAACTTTACCACAGTGATCTTTTTGGCTTTCAAAGACAAAGTATACTTGAATGTGAACACTCACAATACCTCCTGTGAACACCTTCAGATGAATGGTGGGGAACTGATTCTCATCCAGCAAAATCCTGGTGGATTCTGTGCTTCCTGAGGGTTTGATGGCAGCATTTCAAACCAGGCGCCAGTGCAAATGTCAGACTGGGAATGGGCAGGACATGGATTCTTCCTTGTGAGTGGAGGAGTCACTTTAGCTCCAGCTCAGCCACATCGGATGTACCCAGAAGCACATCCCACTCCACCTTCACTCAGGGATATTTAAAATATATTTTACATACCAGTTAACCTTATTTATCCTTCTATCTTCTAAAGCACCTCTCATCCCCCACCATTACCTTGAGCCCAGTAGGAAGCTTTGTGAGAATGAAAAAATAAGTGCTTCTTCAAGACACATTGTTTCTATTGATCAGGCAATTGTTACAATAAACTTACATCATTGAAAAAGGCACTTGAGTACCATTTGCTGGGAGTTCAATATGTTTGTGCCATTGTCAAAATGAAGAGCATGGACTGAGATTATGAATCTGCAAAAGGTGGTGCCTACCATCCACTAGGAGACAAAGTGACCTCTCCAAGGTTAAATTGGTTGATGTTTGCATATTGTTTAAATGCCTCTCTAAAAGGAAAATCAACTTGTGAAAATCAGGACTTGAAAAGAGCTGTCTAAGAAATACTCTGTCTGTTGGAATTTTTCTTCACCACTTTGCTTTCCTGGCTTCCAAACAAATTTAATAGAACTAGGAATAGAAATATTCCTTCAAAGAACCATCCTGGGTATAGTGTGCTGTGAAAAATCTAATTGGGGATTTAAGGAAAACTAACAGATTATTTTTTTATACAGGAAGTGTGAGATAATTTACCACACAGAGTAGAAGTGAACTGAATGTCTCAGGGTAAAAGTCAATAAGAATTTTAACAGTCTGGGGAGGAAAATCAGTTCTTTGTCACTTAAGGCAAAGCAGTACATGCTTATTCCCCTACTATGCTGAGACCCACTTGTATTCCTAACCAATTGTTTGTTTCAAAAAGAGGAAGCAATGCTATAATCAAGTACACTTTTACACCAAACAGCACTAGGAAGTTACCATGGTTTACGAAAAACATTGATCTCTGTCTAGAAATACCAAAACATCACATATGATTGTACACTGATAATTGTAACTAGAAAGACCTATAGTCAGCTAATACCAAGGCTTCAAGGGAATAGGATCTCCTTATGTTTACTTTAAATTTCCTCCCTTAACTTGATTTAATGTATCATGCATATGTGATTTTTTTGGTCAGATTTCCAGATGATTTGTAAATTCTCTGTGGCAAAATGTTTACAAATGTAAAATTTGATTTAATTGTAGCAAGCATTTCCAAGCTATTTTAAGTAGTGGATACAAGAATCACACAAACTTGCTGGATGATTCTGTGTTACTCTAGGGATTATACTGTGCTGCAATACAGTGACTATCTCTAGGACCTTCAGGAAGGTGGAGGGCTGTTCATTCCTACACTAAGTGGTCTCAATAATGTTTGGACTTTTTTTTGTCTGTTTTAAAATTTGTCTTAAATATCTATCTCCAATTATATTCTCACCCCACTATTTCAATCTGTTATGGAAAGAAGCTAAATTAAAATGCTATATAAAGAACTTGTACATAAGGTAAGAGTAATCCAGCCCTGAATGACTGTCAAGGGACTCACATAGCCACAATCATAGTTAAACACTTATGGAAGTGTGGACCACACACTGGGCTAAATGCTTTACATGAATTATTCTAAGCAAGATGTTCTGTGATATCTTTCTTGATGACTCAGAAGATTTAGTATGTGTGTTCATGTTGTATAGTTTACTTTTTGCTATTGACTATGTCTTACAAAGTTGTAGTTACTTAATGAGTGATTTCTGAAAAAGTTTATGACTACAGGTAATATTTAAGAAAATGTACGTTTACTTTTTAAAGTTTGGAATTTCTGTCTGACATGCAGTGCACATGCCAGGGCTCTGCATCCATGTTCTGTGGGTTGCTGCCTTTGATGCCATGGTTCCTGCTTACTGATGCCACTTCCTTTGGTTCCACCTGGCCTGCTCTTCCCTTGCTGTTGTCCTTCAGCCACACAGGGATACTGTTGCTGTGCACCAACCTCACTCACTTACCTTCTACTCATCAAAATATACATGTTAGGTGTCTTCATCTCTGTAAATCTTTTCCTTGAAAGGGATAATGAACCTTGTACCCTGTACATGGGAAAGATTTATGGAAAGAGAACTGAGTGAGGAATCAGAAGATGGTAATCTTGAATTAGAATGAATCAGTAAACTAGCCAAGTGACTTTGGACAAACCATTTCTGTATCCAGCTTTTTTTCTCTTGTAAAATGTGAGGAATGCTAAATATCTAATTTTAGAATCTTGTGCTTATCATCTTAGCTATGTCTTTATACTGGTTGTTATGACTCAAAAGGGGTAACTTTTATTTTACTATATGGAATTGTTTTTATCTTCCTGGACAAGCTAAACATCTTCCTTCAGCCTTCTTTTCCAGAGTGGTTACCCATTGCTGTTTAGTGACCTCCTGTTTAGAGCATGCTTAAAGGATTCCAATCTTGATCCGAATCATAATTTGTTCTTAAGCATCCTGGGAAGGTCCCCTGTTTTGAGCCATATTTTTGTACTTACTGCTTTCTTAGCTTTTGGAGAATATGAATATTAATAATATAGCTAATAATATTGATATTTACGTGGAAATAAATTTTTAAAATCTCAGAATTCGCTTCTGGTCAGAGTGCTGGAATTTTTATTTATCCTTCTCTTCTCCATGTTCTGATGAGCTAATCCCTTGATAAGGGGAGGATGGAATAAACTTTCTAATTTCCTGCCTGCCTCCAATTTTAACCATCAGAGCTATGTCCAGGGGGATGGTTGAGGTGGCAGAGTCCATCAGTGCTTTTGAAAAGATGCTCACTGGAAGTCCTCAGAACCCCTCTTCATAGTTCAAGGGATTGAGTCAAATAGAACACTTATCTTACTTCCCACTGGACTCATTTCTAATCTCTTTCAGTATTATGTTCATTTTCCTTAGTAGTAGTTACATTGGCTATCTCATGAAGAGGGCACAATGATATGGGCTTGAGTGGTATTTTCTGGCCATAGTTATCCCTGTGCTACCTTGGTGGCTTTGATGATTCTCTCCTCTCTGAAGTGCTCCTCTTTGGTGGCTTCTCTGACCTCACCCTTTCTGGTCTTCTCTTTTCCTTCCTGTTCTCTGCCTTTCATGGTCTTTACCACCCTTCTTTCTCTGTCCACCACTTAATGCTGATGTTCTTCAATGTTCTATTTTCAGTATTATTCTATCTCCATGACATAGGCCATAGTTTGACAGCCAATAATCCCCAGCCTGGCTTATGTATGTGTCTTATTTCTTTGTTAAGTTTAATTTAGTTGCCAACATTTAAACAATGACAAATTTCTGGCTTCTTTGGAAAACAAAAATAAAACAAGTCTCTATTTTTGAATGGTAAAAACTATCTAAAGCAGAGAAGTCACCCCCATCTTTTGGGATAGTTTGCATTCTGTTTCCCCAGAGTTCCACCATCCACACAATGTGCAAATGTGTTTATACCAATTCACTGCACTCACTTTCTGCCTGGCCCTGAAGCATTTGGGTTGTGAGCTCTACTCTACACACTTACCATCTCATTGGTTATTACACCTTTAATCATTTCTTGTATACCAACAATATGTAAAACTCTTTTCAGCCCAGAGAGCTTCCATTCTAGTATCATCTTTACTGTAACCATTCTTATTAGTAGTGATAAAATACCAAATATTGAGAACCCACCCTATTCCAAGCATGGTATTAGTCATTTTATAACAATTATTTAATTCTGTCCTCCCCAAAACTCTTTTGGGTAGGAATTCCTCCTTTGCAAATCAGAACTTGAGACTCTAAGAGATAAACTTGGTCAAACTCATGCAGCTTAGATTCAAAACCAAAGACAGTTGACACCAGAGACCATGCTCTTAACCTCTATGAACTCTGCCTCTGGGAAACTCCATGTGCATGTAATAGCATGTCTCTTCAACATGTTCACAGTAGAACACCCTGTATTCCTTGCCGAGCTCCTCCTCCTGGTTCATGGTGTTTGCTAAAGCATGAGAATCACTCCTGAATCTGGAAGCCTTAGTGTTTGCCTGCTTCCTTTCTTTACTCTGTTTCCACCCAATACCTTCTGCACTGTAACTTCACTTACTCTCCTCATTAACTCTCCTTTATACTACTGCAGTAAGCTCCCACCAGGCCTACTTGCCTCAATGGCTTCTGTTGTGATAAAGAAGGTGATACAGCTGGGTGTGGTGGTTCATACCTGTAATCTCAGCAATTTGAGAGGTGGAGATAGGAGGATCACAGTCTGAGGGGTGATGTGGGGTAAAAGAGCAAAATCCAACCTGAAAAAAAAAAAAAAAACCCTAAAAACAAAGGTCTAGGGTGTGGCTCAAGTGGTAGAAGCACAAAGCCCTGAGTTCAATTCCCAGTACTATTAAAAATTTAAAAAAAGGATACATATTAGTTCAATGAATGATGAACAAAATATGGCAGGGTACCATGGTAGAAAGATCATGGTTTTGGGAGTCTAGTTTTAAATCCCACTATTCATTAGCTAAGTGACTTTAACAATTTTTAAAAAACAATTTAGAGTTTTGCTTTCTTTATCTGTTAAATGGGGATATTAGTACATATCTTCTGGGTTATTGTGAACATAAGAGATAACAGCTACAGAATACCTAGTATAGTGCCTGAAAATAGTTGGTCTCAAAAAAACAATAATTTACACAAGTCATCTATGCCATAATAAAGGTCAAATGCATAACACAATTTTGGGGATTTAAGCAAAATCACAAAAGGATGATGGAAGAGCTTTGTAGGATTTAGATGGGAGAAGGAAAGAGAAGAAGTAGGAATTCTCACAGCATCTTCTGAAAACAAGGACTCTCCTCTGTGGTCATTGCAATTATTCATTCCTTACTTTATTTCTAACATGGAAATTTATGTTTGGTCATGGTTGGAGGTAATGACTAATGGGTAGTTTGAGGATAAAATCTTGGAGGGATTAAGGCTCAACTGGGAATTTTGGACCATATCCTACACAGGGGGACATTGAAAGTTTTCCAATAAAGATAACTTGACATAATTTAGGGAGTCTAAGTTCTTGCCATGGCCATTTAAAAAATTTTGATCCAATTCATGTGAATATCTTATTTTCTGTCAGCTGAATATGAACTTTAAGTTATTTTTACTAGAAGAGAATAAGAAAAAGGAGGGCTATGCTATCCAGCTTTATAATATTTTGATTAAAGATATTATTAAATTTAGAGTGAATTTTAATAAAGACCATACTGGGTCACTTTCAGTAGCATTTAAAAATATCAAATGAGATGTTATGAGTACTAAAAAATAATCCCTCAGTATTTCAACCACTGTAAACACAAATTACTCATTACTTAAGAGCATCCTAGTCCAATGTCACAAGGAAATTCCTTGTGTAGCTACTTAAACAAAAATGTCTTTAAAAAAACAAAAACAAAAAAATGAAGAACAGGAGGGCAGAATAGGTCCTGTGTGTGCATGTGGGGGTGGGGAGGTAGGGGGTTGGTACCAGTGGGAGGAGGGAGGATGTGGGGAGAGGGTGAATATGGTGCAAACACTGTGCACAGACACATGTAAATGGAAAAATGAGACCTTTTGAAACTATTCTAGGAATGGGGGAAGAGAGATAAAGGAGAAAGATGGGGACAGTGTATTCAACTATGACATACTGTAAGAACTTCTGTAAATGTCACTATGTACCCCCAGTACAACAATAAAAAAATAAAAACATCCTATTCCAAAAATTGTTTGGGGCAGCCCTTTGGCATCTTCCTCCTACAGTGGCCTCCCTCACAGAGTAGGTGAATGGCTGGAGCCTCCTCAGCATTCCTGCTACTTAGAACAGTAACTGTTATAAACTCTCATTCCCTCTATGGCACCACAGCAGGAAGTGTGTTGTTTTGAAATATAAATGTAAATTTTACCCAGGACAGCTGGCACATGAAATCTTTTAGTGCTTTATCTCCTCCCAGACTCCTTAAAAAGCTGGGATGTAAGGCCTTTTAGTTTTGACTGGGGGAGGGAGCATTGGGGTAACACTCATTGTAGACCAGGTAAGGAGTTGCGTGAGGAAGAAGCAGCAGCACTCAGAGAATTCTGCCACATGCCACAGCCCTGCAAATCTGGAGCCACTTATTCCCTGGAGCCTGATTAAAACATGGACTTCCATCCAAGTTTTGGCTAATGGAACTCCTTGACTTTTTTCATCTCCTGTGGCCTTTCCACAGTAGAACTCAGAGGTATGTGGAGCCTAGAACACACTGACAACATGAGTCCCACCAGGGCTGAGAAAATAGTTTTGCTTTCATGTACACTCTTTCTATTGCTGATGGAGAGAGACCTTCATTTTCTTCCTGACTAATGTAGTCTTGATTGCTTGTATTTCTGAGGCTTGAGGTTAGGACAAATGCAACAACAATGATAACATTAATAACAGAAGGAAAAGGTCAATAAAATCATAGAAATATTGGCAAAGAGTAATTTCTAAAGGGCCTTTCAGTCCTGTGCTTTACTTTTATTTAGATGAACTATCTATTAATAAGGAAACATACTATATCTAAGACATTTTAATCTATATACTACCCTTATAATTAATTTTAAGATATAAAATTCTATAATCCATGACCATGAAAGGTAACCGGAACTTTTCAATTTGTGAAAACCTCATGCACTATTTCAAATAAATCAATAGCCAGGCAATCAGTGATTTTTTTCTACTACATGTCAGGCATTGGTGATACTTTATTTTCCCAGAGGGAGATGAAAATTGGCCATTGATCTCCTTCCACTATCAAGGCCAAATACTTTTTGCTACCCATCTATTGCCTACCCTACTCTCACCATACATCCTTATCCAAACACAATTAAAAATACTATTCCACCAAAAAAATTGATGAAATACACCAAATTATTTATATATTTTTCATTAAAACTTTTTTTTCATGTTAGTGGAGTTTGATCCCAGGGTTTTGCATTTGCTAGGTAGGTGCTCTACCATTTAAGTCATGCCCTCTGCCCAGCCCTTTTTATTTGCCTTGGCTATTTTTCAGATAGGGCCTCCCCCTTTTTTAAATGTAGGGCCACCTTCATACTGTGATCTTCCTTCCTATGCTTCTCATGTTATTGGGATTGCAGGCATGCTCTACCACACCTGTGCTATTTGAGATTGAGATAGGGTCTTTTTGCCTGGGCTGTCCTTGAACCACAATTCTCCTGATCTCTGCCTCCAAAATAGTTGGAATTACAGGTGTGAGCCACTGTTTCCAGCCTCATTAATGTTGTTTTTACCCCTTTATATCACATTCATAGTATTTTAAACTATGATTTTGAACATTGATGTTAATGCACCACTTCTAGGTGGGTGACAATTATTGTTTCATTTACAAATAAACCTCATTTTATTAGTGGTCAAATGTGCAGTAATTTTTGAGAAGGCAGACATTTAAAGTTCAAAATAACTTTATCTATGACTTTTTATTCTTAGGATTTTGAATTCATAAGATAAGGAGAACAAAGTCAGAACCAGTAGCTTTCCCAATAGGTTCCTTATATAATTAATGGCATTATATCTCCCTGTAAGAGATGACAGGACAGCTGAAAACCAGAAAAGCAG